CTTTTTCTTTGGAATGAAAAATTCTGAATGGGAATTTTTAGCACATTCGGAGGCTTGCAATTAGAATCCCCCTTCAGGAAGGCTGCAATACAACTGGAACTGGCAAAGACCTTGGAAGGACTGAGTTTGTATTTCCTTTCAACTTTATGCCCACAAAGATATCTGCACAAGACTTAACAGTCCAATGCTAGGTATGCTTATTCTAATGAAAGCCTGATTGTGTTGAACAGAAAACTCATCGCCCAAAAGTTTATGCATTTTTTAACTTTGGAATAAGACCCAGTACACACAACAGATCTTATCTCTGAGTACATCACTCAGTATTGTGCTGTATGCCCAATTAGAACTATAAGAAACAAAGTTCTGCCAAATTAAAAATGGCAAAATCCTAAACTAAACAATACTTTTATTAAGACCTACTGTTTATGATAATGCAAAATCTCCACAACCTGTTCATCAAGCAAGCTGTTACAAGAAGTAGGTGGCGGTGGAAAGTGAGAGAGCGTAATACCAAAAATAAGGCTTACTTCAATGTTAAGGCAGCTTCTCCTCCCCCCACCCTTTTTCAATAACAAATTGTATGAAGAAAAGTCTTGATGTGAACATCTTGCTCAGTGTAAGTAATGGCATTGGAGTACCATTGGTTTTTAAACTTACCATTTATCATGTCAGCCCTATAAAATCAATCAGAACCTGAGAGAATTAGAAAGGAATAAGCATATTTAAGTATGGTTGTTGTGGGTTTTTCGGGCTCTTTGGCCATGTTCTGAAGGTTGTTCTTCCTAAAGTTTCGCCAGTCTCTGTGGCCGGCATCTTCAGAGGACAGCACTCTGTTTGGTAATTGAGCATTTATGGCTGTGAGATCAGCTTTTGTCCTTTTCAGGAGATGGGTGATTATGGTGATCAGTGTATCTTTGTTGTGGGTGTATAGCTGTGATAAGGAGAGATTATATGTCACTGTGATTGATGGGTGTCATTAGGGGGTCTTTTGTGTATTGTGTGTTGTGATCACTGTCCTTGTGGCTGGGTAGAGTTCGTTGTATTTTTCAGTGCTGGGAGCCAAGTTTTGTTGAGGTTCAAACTCTCCTCTTTTTTTTGTTGAAGTTCTGCTAGTGTTTATAGATTTCAATGGCTTCCCTGTGCAATCTAACGTAATAATTGCTGGTGTTGTCCAGTACTTCAGTATTTTGAAATAGAATTTCATGTCCAGCTTGTTTTAGGGCATGTTCAGCTACTGCCAATTTTTCTGGTTGTTTTACTCCCAAACAAACTGCACCAGAGCACAGAGTGCTGTCCTCTGAAGATGCCGGCCACAGAGACTGGCGAAACGTTAGGAAGAACCACCTTCAGAACACGGCCAAAGAGCCCGAAAAACCCAGAACAACCATTAGATCCCAGCCGTGAAAGCCTTCGCGAATACATATTTATGTATGTTTCCTCCTTTAGAGCAGGAACTTTTTCCCAGAAAAAAAATTAAAAATATTGTAAGACTGAAAGAAATATGTCCAGATTAAAGCATATCTTTTACATACATACCTGTGTCCTCTCGTTGTACCTGTCAGATATTCCATTTCTAGTCAAAACCTCTCCAGTAAAGATTAATAATTGTTCCAAATCAAGTGCTAAAGCTTCTGCTCAATGCTTTGGCCTTTCCATCTTTCCCTGACACAGCTGTACTCTTAGAAGTTACATAAATGCAGGAGTGAGGCGATGCCTTTATTGAACCACTAAAAATCACACAAATTGCAAGCTTTCCACAAGTAAAATCTCACCTCACCCATTTTTGGATAATGCAGAAAAAATGTAGGTCAAAGTCTCAAAACTGAATGACAGATGTCAGAGGTGAGTCTGCTTGCATGAGATGAATTAAAGTCAGCTGAGGGGTGTGGTTTCAAACATCCTCCCTTGTAGCGTGACTGGAATTTTCCATCCCAAATTCCAAACAAAGGACTTGCTAATTACTGTGACTGCTCCCCTCCAAGTTGCTCCTTTAATAATTAGTCTTCTCCAGACCGTATTAAAATCATCATTGTAAAGCTAGAAAAGATGGTATAATTATTGCTTTCTGCTTGTGTTAAATATGTTGTGTATGTACCATATGTATTGTTCTTCTCTCTTTTGGGATTCTGCACAGATATCTCCAAGCTTACACATCTGGTCTTTCGTCACCTTTAAGCCTCAGAACTCTTAATTATTACCTTTCTCCGGTATGTATTTTTAGTTGTTCCTCTGTTCTGGCATCTGCTTGCACCTGACTTTTGTATACATCTTAAATAATTCCATTAATGCCTTTGAATGGCAGGTTATTAGTATTCTAAAACTGCATTATAACATTGATTAGAATGTGACCTCTGAACTCATTTTATACAAGCATCTTCCCAAACAAGCAGAATAGAGACTGCCGAACTTCCTTCGCATTTCTGGCATAAATTGTTATCAGCCGCATGTATTTTATATTAGGCTGTCAATACCAAAACCAAATGGCAGTTGACCTGAAGGAGAAAATGAACAGACGATTTAAATAGGACAAAACATAACAACACAAGAGACCACGCAGTGCAAAGTTCAAAAAAATAAAAGCTCCATTGCTGTAACTCATCTGTCTTTTAACTGCCCCCCTCCTGAATTTTGACCAGATTCTTCCTGTTACCTGTTGTGTCAATCTTCTTACCTTTACAATAATTTGCAGGCTGTTGAATGAACGGTCCCATCAACAAGGTTACATGTTTAGTAGCCTCCTTCAGTTGGGGTAACAGCAGAAAATGAAAAAAGCACACAGACCCATTCCTCCTGCATGGGGGTCTTCAGCATTTCTGTGCAGCCTACTCACTCACCTGCATGTGATTCCTGATCTTCTAAGGCTACAGTTGGTGGTATGAAAGGAGGCGGCAGCAGTTGAATTAACTATGTGGTCTTTTTTAAAGATAAACAGTACCAGATGCAATACAATTAGAAAGTACCTACGCTACACACTCTAATTGCTATAGTTACATCCTATGGAATCTGCAATGTGTAGTTTGGCAAGTTCTCTCCTAAAGAGGCTGAAGAAAACCACAGCACCAGAATTCTCCAGCAAATAAATATGTTACCAAATCACAAATCCTAATTTTCGACAGTTTGAGAGGCTAAAGAAGATGCTATAATGGTGTACAACAGAAGCTTCTCAAGTGGTATCACTGCAATCCTAGTATACGGGGTTGCCTAAAAACAAATCCCCTTCCCTTCTGTAAGACCTCCTCCCAGGAAAACATGAAGAAAAATGCCACGGCCAGAATCCTACTGCTGTTTGCATGTGGATTTTTCCTAATTTGCTGTGGTCTCTATTTCTGATGACTTGACAACAGGCTGGGATCCATCTCCGTTGTGGGCCTCGCTGCACACCCAGCAGGGCAACTAAGATTTATTTAAATAAATATGTATTTATTTAGATACTCCCTGAGGGGGCAGAGCAAACCATATCAACCTCTCACATGCATTGACACGCTTCCAGTTCATCAAGATGATGGAGTTGTTGCTACTGAACTCGGTGGGTTGGAGCTAGACTTACACCGTACTTACCGAGTTGCTGCGGAGTGCTGTCAAGCCGCTTCCCACTCCTGGCGACCCTGACAAGGCTTTTTGAGATAGCAAGGAGTGGGTGAACACTGCTGCTCCCTGCCAGTAACTTTCCATGGGAGACCAGCTGGGATTTGAACCCAGATCTCCTGCCTTGTTTGAGGCATCACTCACTGGGATCTCCCTTGAAGAGTAAGCCTAAGAGGAATAAGCATGCACAGCTTCCCTCCTCCTCAATTCAGCTGCCTCGAGTCCCTTCTACTGGGAGAAAGGAGGAGCAGAACTGAAATCCTGTACTCTTCACCACAACCCTGCGAGGTAGGGCAGGCAGAGGATTCTGAGCTTGCCTAAACTGCGGGAACACAACCCGTTTCCCACGGGACAGGCTATCGCAGCCCAAGGCACTATCTCCCACCACCCCTACCCACCCTAGGAGGATATTCCTCTCCAGTCACGGGCGCCGCGTCGGGGAATCGAACTCGCCACTTCCCGGATGCCGCCCCGCCCGCCCGCAACCAGCCACCCGGGGAGGCCTAGGCTCCGCCCCGCCCCTGAGTGCCCAAGAAAAGGGGCGGGCAGAGGAGCCCAGGGAGAAAACCGGCGCCGTGCTCCCATGGCAACGCCGCGACCCCTCCCCACCCCGGGCGCGTGCCCGTCCATCACTTACTGGCAAAAAAAAGGGGAGGGGGAGGAATTGTGGCGAGGGCGGAACTCGGGCAATTACCAAACGCCACAGAGGAATTTTGGGCTTTCGCATCCACCGCCGCCGCCGCCGACTTGACACGCGCTTCTCCTCTCCGGCGAAGCTCACACCCTCCCGGCTTTTCCCCCTTTGTCCCTTTCCCACACCGATAAATCCAGCCCCGGTTCCTTCGGACCGTCTCTTCCTTCCTCAGAACGTCCGCCGCGAACTTCAACGCCGCCAAGATGGCCGCTCTGAAAGAGCGAGAGCAGCGCGGGCTGTCCTCACCACCCCCTCCCCCGGGCTAGGCCCCGCCCTCCGTCTCCGCCTCAGCGTTCCTCTCCTCCTGCGCCTGCGCCGGCTCGAGCTTCGTGGGAGCTGTAGTCATCTGGAAGAACCCCCCGGCAGGCCAGTCCGCGGGGCTAAGGCAACCCGGAACTCCATTTCCCAGAAGGCCAGCTGGAGGGTCCTCCAAGGAGCCAATCAGAACGCTGGCCTTTCTCCGCCGCTCTCCGAAGTCTTCCCCCCTCCCAGCTAGAACGATGATGTAATGGCAAAGCGGAGGAAAGGCGGAGCGGGGCTCCTGCGCTGCAATTCATTGTGCCCTAACCCGATCCGTGTGCAGCGTCCTCCCCCTGCTGTTCCTCCTTCTTGCAACCAGGGTAGCAGCAGCAGCAGCAATAGTAGCAGCAGTCACTGATTCCCAAGCAAAAGGGGGCGGGAGTGGGAGGGTTGGCGGGGTGGGGAAAGAAGAAGAAGTTGGGGAGGGGGAGAGGGCGGGGAGACCCTTTGCACACTTTGCATCCTAAGGGAGATCCTTCCAAGCTTTGCCCCATGTCGAAGTGACTTGATCTGCCAACCTGGCCTCTCGGTTTATGATCTTCGGAAAAATAAAAGGCAGGGAGCAGCAGTCCCCCCAACCAGGTGAGTTATTATGCGATCCAGGCGTTGCTGTTCTTGCTCTGATTAATATTATTATCATTTAAAAATCTTTGTCTTTTAAAGCCTCAACTTGTTCCTCCCTCTCCACATCCCAAGCGTGCCACGGATCTACCCAGTGTCTTGGCGGGGAGAGGCTTTGTCTGACTTCTCTTTAAGTGTTTGCATGGGAAATCGCCTCCCCCCCCAAAGAAAGTAAAAATATTGAGGATCGCCCTTGGATTATTTTTTGCAAAGATCAGCCCCCCCTTAAGTTGCCTGCTACTTACCCCGCCAACCTCTACGCCTCCTTTTTTTTTACCCCCCCCTTCCTTTCTCCTTTTGGTAAGCGGGAAGGTTAAATGTGCAGAATTCCCACAGAGAAGGACTTGTCTGCAGAATCCTGATCACTGGATCCCCTTCCTCTCCTCTCCTGGAAGCCCCCTCCCTTTCCCAGATGTTGAGGTGTGAGGAAGCAACTAATTGCGGTATGGATGGAGTGGTGGGAGTGTTGCGTGGGTGGGTGGGTTTGGCTGGTGGTGGTGGGAGAAGGCTTTGATGAAGGAGGGGCCCGGTGCTGTTGAGTGATGATTAGACGTGTGATTTAATGCAAGCCTCTGAAGACTTGAGTCAGCTCCTCAGCCTTCATTCTGTCCTCCCTCTTTCTGGACCCATTTCTTGCAAGATCAAGCAAAAGTATGTTTTTTTTTTATTTAAAAAAAATTTTTTTTGGTTGGAAGCGCCTTTTCTTCCCTCTCCAGATGTTGGAAAAAAATAGCACAAGTGCTACTCACAGCGGTAGACTTTAAAAAAGGTTCTGAAATATACAAGCAATCACACCCTCCAGTTAACTGTGCTTCTTATGGTTGTTAACTCAGAAATAAACCTTGCAGAATTCAGCAGAATAGCCTTGCTTACTTCTGTGTAAGCATCCACACTCCTCTTCCAGGGAGGCAGCAGCCCTTTAAAAACACACTACTGTTATTTTTTGAATTTAAACGGGCTTGCTTCCAACGAGAAAGCATCCCTATGATTATTTGGTAAAATACAATTCTTTACTTTATTCCTAGTGAAGCTGCAATCCTTAGCAACTTACCAGAGTAACCCTCACTGACCTATATGGAACTTGTTTCCAAGGAAGTGTGATTCAGATCCCGTTGGGAGTAGCTTTTTGTAAATGTTCCTCCAGGTTATTTTCTTCCATAGTGATTTTTTAAAAATATGGGGTTGGATTGTATGTGTGTGTGTGTATTTCAGCTCTGAAAGAACTTTGGCCACATGTTAATGTCAGATGCCCATCTGTGAGTCATAGATTGCCAAGAAGTGGCTCTGCTGGTTCTATTTTGTCCTGTAAGGGAAAATACCCGCAAATGCAATTGACTGGAATTGGTCCCTGTTCTTAAGGCTGCCAAGATGCTCCAGGAGATGAAGGGCCCTGGGAATATGAGGAGCGATGCCTGATTGGTAAAGAGAAAGCAAACATTGACACAGCAAAGAACTAGGCTGCCCTGTTCTTTCTCCTGGGCTTTCTTGACCGCTTAAAACGTTCTGAAAGATTCCCGCTGGCCCTCTTTCGTCTTGTTTTGAGGAATCCAACTGGAGTTTTCTGAAGCTGGCAGCTGTAGCCAGATCCTTCTCTGGGTTGACTTGGAAATCAGTTTAAGTAGAGTTCAGAGGGATTTGTTCTCCAGCAAAGCTGCAAGAGGTTGCAGCATTAGTTTCTTGATCTGTTTCAGATGCCCAGGGTATTCTGCTGAATGAATTGCAGTGCTTTGAACAGCTGGATGGTTGCATAACCTGTGCTTCTGATAAAGCTGCATTTGGGTGAGGAACATCGGAAGCCTCCCCGCAACCATCTCTGATGTGTAGTTTTTAAAGAAATTGGAAGTAGAAGTCTTTGGCCGACCGTCCTCTTCCTTTCTTTTCCTCCTGGCAGAGTGAGGAATCCCGTGTGAAATATCAGAAAGGATGTTAAGTTGCTTATTTTTCTCCCAGAGAGTTCTTAATGTTGGTTGTGGATCAGAGAGGGAGTTGGAAGGTTGCTTGAATCTTGGTTCAGCATGATACTAGAAGGTGTAAATACTGTGAATTTTGTGTTCATTGTTTGCTTGTCACAGGTGGGAAAAATATTGTGTGGGCAAAATAAGTTGCACGTGCATGGGGAGAAGGCTGTGTGATGATAGAACTTTAAAACATGTACCCTGCAAGTTGTGTGATTTCGAGAGACAGCTTTCCCACAGTGTGCAAGAAAGATTTAAAGTAGCCCCACCAGCTATAATTCTGGCACATTCAAAGAGGCTCAGATTTCCAAATAAACATGCTTAGTAGTCAGATGCCTAAATAAGCATGCTTAATATCAAGTTGTAAATATATTTACGATTAGGGCTCTAAAGGCCTGGTTCCAGAGTTCATGGGCCCCTTGGCAATAATCAATAGGTCAAAGTCACGGGCCTTTCCTATGCAGATGCTAGAAAAGTTACTTTTTTGGACTACAGTTCTCGGATCCCCCCTGGCATAGCTAATATGTAATATCATTTTATCTTACTGGGGAAAATTAAAAGGATGACTTTGAAAACCAAGCTGCAGGAGCTGATTAAAGGTCCCAGAGCACCCACCCACAATGAACTATACTGTCGTTTTTGACGCATGCCGCATCCTGACACTGAGCCTGGGATTCTGCAACTCGGACACCCGTGGACTTGAGAGCGTATCTTCTTGGCTTCACCAGGATCAGTCACACTGCAGCAATCAGATTTGTGTCCTGCGTGCATGAAGTCCCTGGTTCAGTCCCTGGCATCTCCAAGGGAGTGTGACTCTTGTTTGAAACCCGGGAGAGTCCTGGCTGCCAAACAGTGTGAGGCTAGAGGTGGACGGACCTCTGGCCATGCAGGTTCCCCTTCCAGCCTGCTGTGCTCTCTGCAGCTCTTCTCTCTGGTCGCCGATTGGATGCAAGACTGTGGCTTTTCAGCGCTTGCAGAAAAACCTTGCTGAACGTTGATGAAAAGACTAGGTCTGATCCTCCATCCCCATATCGCAGTCCTTGGCCTGAAAAGAGGGACTTCTCCTTCTGTTGTGCCAAGCAAGCGATCTTTGCATGGACGAAGGAACAGCGTAGACAGGACTGAGGTCGTGGCACCAAACAGGATGGAATTGATCTAAATCAAACTGGTTTTAATCATGATTTAATTAAAAAAATAAAGTGAAAATGATTTAAATAAAAACACATTTTTTTAAAAAAAAATTAAATTGTGATTTAAATCAATTTGGTTTTTTTTTTTAATCTTTGTTTTCTATCCACTCAGGAACCAAGGGTTCCTGAACTGGTGCGAGACAGCTTTCTGATTTTCCCCGTTGTTGAAGTTTACTCTGTAAGCATCTCAGGGCAGGCACTTATTTTTTTTAACTTATGTAGCATAGCAAAGAACCGCATACTTGGACACTGAGGGAAAGAAATAAATGTTGATCTCCGTGTACTCAAATATTTCTCCCAAGTGATTGCATCTTGGGCTGCAGCCAAAGTTGGAAGCAATCCCACTGAGATACATTTTGGGGAGGGGGAGAGGAGATTGACCTCAAACCCCTTAGCATTTGTGCCCACCCACAGCTATTATTTTTAGAAGGGTAGGTGGGGGGAGATCTGGCAACAAATGGGAAGGATCAAATACTCTTTGTGTGTGTGTGTGTGTATTGATTTCCTTAGCCCTCCGCTTGTTGCTTTCTCTGTAAATGGACCAAAGTGCTATCGGAAAGAATTCAGTGGATCTGAATGGCATTCAGCGGGCTTTATTTCTCAAAGCGACGTGCAAATGGCTGCGTTTGTGGTGTGGTGTGCAGTCTGCCTCCAAGGGGTTTGGAAACTGCAGGTCAAGTCATGCTTTGTGTTGCTCCTTGCACAAAGTTCCTTCTGCTGCAAAGGGAATGGCTCAGATTGAATCCATGTGGCGGGCACAGGATCTCTTCCAGCCGCTGCCTCTTCCTGCTGCTCCACAGATTCCACCCCCCCTCCTCCCCGGTCCCTTGTGTAACTGACACTGTTTTGTCCTCTGGCAAACTTTCCTTTGGAAATGGCATGGCCGGGGGATTCTGCATGACATGAGTTCAGGAGAAACAATGGGTCCCCCTGTTCTTTGAGATCAGGGTGTTTGTAAACACAGACACAATTGCCATGAAGCCAATGTTGCATTGCATCCTTTAGAAAAAGAAATCTGGGGAGTGCAGTCCCAGAAGGGTAAATATTCATTAGCTTAGTTATGTTTGATCCGATCTCCCTCCCTCCCTTATTGTTGTTAAAAGGAGAGTGACAAGTAACAGGCCAGGTCCTATCTGTTTTTCAGAGATGTCTTTATCTCTTTTGTGCTTAAAACTCATTTACCCCTGCCTCCAAAACGTTTGACAGGGCAGGGATGTTGAGAAAGGCAGTCCCCTATGGTGGCTGTACAAACAGGGCTTTTCTCCTCCGGGTGATATATTGTGATGTTGTTTGTGTCTTTTGCCTGGGAAGGACAAGCCGTGAAAGTGCTCTTTGAAAAGTATGTGTTGGGGCTTCCTTAGTGAGTCGGGTGAGGAGAAAACTATGTGAGGACTTTCGGAAAAAGGGTGTGTGTTCCAGTCTCCGATCCAAATATAGCGCTTTTGAAGCATATGTGGTTCATATATTTGCTAAAGCCATTGCTGTCACTGCAGTCATATTTGCTTTGTGATCCTTGTCCAAAGGGATTAATTTTGAGTGAATTCTGGGATATTTTGTGATCAGAAGAGAATTCCTGTGTGTTAGCAGTTGTCGGTTGTTAGTAGAGGGTTAAATCTTCATATTTTGGTATTTTGTGTACTGTTTGAGCGTTTCAGGCCCTCCTCATACAGTGTTGGTCTAATGCTGTGAAGAATTACTGAGCAAAATACATCTCTGGGAAACGGCACTGCCCTTTCTGAAGGCGAGGATTAAAGAAAAACTTGCTCCCCTTTTTGCAAAACCTTTGGCATAGGTAATACTGCAGAATTCTTAGCAT